GGAAAGGTTTTGGACCAGAGATATCCCCTACGACTGTGGTGCTGTTGCAGGAACTGGAACGTTTTAATAAGCTGATCATTCGAATGGCAAAGTCATTGGCTGAACTGCAACGTGTAAGTAAGGACACAGGTGCTGCTGCTCTCAGTGACGGGAGGAAATCAGTCAGGCTGGCACTCAGACTCTCACCCTCTTTCCAGGCCTTGGCTGGGGAAGTGGGAATGAGCAGCGAACTGGATGATGTGGCTCGGGCTCTCTTTAATGGACAGATTCCTGGAATCTGGCGGCGGCTAGCCCCCGATACACTCAAAACACTTGGAAATTGGATTATTTTCTTCAGAGCTCGGTATAACCAGTACACCAGCTGGGTGAGTGCCTCCAGAAAGCTTTTTGTTTTGTTAATCGGCATGATATGCTATGTAAAGTGGTGCAGAAGTCAGTGAACACACACTGCTTTAGACAAGTTACTTGAACTAATGCCAGTCACCACCTAGAACGATAACGCATCATTGCACAACTGTGGATGCAAGCCAGACCAGCCACTGGCTCCCCCCCGGGGACGGTGGCCCCCTGGCCCCGCCCCCGCGCCGCTCGTCTGCGAGAGCGTTGGCCTCTGGGCCCAGCACCGGCTGCGGTGGGAGAACCAGGGCTGCAGCTTGTCCTCTGCTTGCAGGTTAGCGAGCGTGAGCCAAAGGTGATGTGGCTCTCAGGCCTGCACGTCCCAGAATCCTACCTGACGGCTCTTGTGCAAGCCACCTGCAGGAAAAACAAGTGGCCCCTGGATCACTCCACCCTCTGCACAGAGGTAACCACCTACAGGACTGCAGAGGACATCACTGAAGGGTCTACTCAAGGTAGGTGTTTTTATGATGATTTGGCAAAAATAGTAAAGTAGTTAATTGGTGAGCGAGAGAGGGAAGTGGCCTGCCATGCTGAGTCCCTCACTTAGGTTGTACCTCCGCAGACGATACCCTTGGTGATGCGTTTCACAGTCCACCTGATTTCAAGCTGGGCAGTGGCTGGGGTCTGGTTTCTGCTGTCCTGCTGAGCCCCTGCAAACGCAATCATCGTCTTCGTTCTTCAGCTCTTCCACCCGCACGCGTGTTTGAACTTGCACCTCTCCCTTGCACGCTCGCTCTCTCCTTTTTTCTTAATGGCTGGAACATTACCAGTCCTAGCAGGTTTATAAAGACCTATTTACACCACAAATAATATACTGAAACATATTTAAACAAAAAGTAAATACAACTCTGTATGATTTATTGTGTAAATATATCTTTATGAAATTTCTATGACTAGCAATGCTCTGATTACTAAATATAACAAACTCTGGGTAAAGGGGAGAGCAAAGCAACACTTCTGAGTACCAGACCTGATTGGGAACATAGGAGGAAAAAGACAAATCTGATTGTTTTTGCTAAATATAACTTTCAGTTAAAAACAAAAGCCACCTCAAGGGCTTACCTAGACTATTCTTTATTTACTACCATTTCATCAAAATGCTTGGTGTTTGTACGGAACGACTCTATCCCAGCCCTTCACCTTCTGTCAGAACGATCTAATGAGCAGTCCCGCAGGGGTTAAAAAGCTCTCATAACTCGGCCATTACTTGGGCAGGTCATCGGAGGATGGCACCTACTGTGGGGAAGAAAACTGCAAGCAAATCAGTACTTACTTATTCCTAATAATGTCTATCATATGTAGTGCAACTGAGGCAATTCTAAGTTGCAAAACATTTTTTAAACATGGTAGGTGACAGTTGTATTATAAAAACGAGCACCGCATAAATACACCTCTGCGTAGCTGCAGTTTGAATGGGAGCGAGTTCTGTCACGACTGTAAGTGCCAGGGTCAGCTATCGCAGGAACAACGGCTCTCTTTTAAACTGATTTTTTAGTAGCTGGATTCACACGAGATGTTGCATTCTCTGCCCGTCCAGGCTGCTTTGTTTCTGGGCTGTTTCTGGAAGGAGCAGACTGGGACACAGAGCACAGCTGCCTCACCAAAAGCAAGCCCGGAGTCCTGGTGGTGGAGTTACCCATTCTGAAGATAATCCCCACTGAAGCCCACAGGCTCAAGCTCCAGGTACGGCTCCTGCGGCGACACAGTTAGCTTATGAATGTCCTTCTGCTTTCACATCTCAGTAGCTCGTAGTCCCTCCTCTCTTAGCACAAGCAGCAGGATTTTATTGTTACCACACGTATATAACCTATGCAGTTTAACAGATCTTACGTGAGCCATCATTAACGTTTTTCTTTTCTAGGGGTTATGCTCGAGGGGGTTGTTAATACATTTGCTGCCTCTTTTCCATTCGGGCAGTATGGGACACTCATTTAGTCCCACTGCTTTTCATTATTTCCAGTTACCAGTTAATGACATAGGCGATGTTTACATTTTCTGGGCATCAGTTATCTAAGACTTGCAACAAAAAAAGTGAATTTCTGAAGACAGTCACCTCTCCTAGAGGCCCTTCTTGTTTCCAGTTTCCCGCAGTACTTCAAGTACTACTCCCTGTCCTGCTTTCCTCCCCGTTCCTTTAGAATACCCTCCGGACGCCAGTGTACACGACCTCCCTGAGAAGGAACGCGATGGGTGTTGGCCTTGTTTTTGAAGCTGATCTTTACACTACAAAGCACATTTCCCATTGGGTCCTTCAAGGCGTCTGTCTCACCCTGAACGCAGACTGACCCTCTGAAGCTGGCACTCCGTTTTCCCCACAGAGTCCAACCCTTAAACTAGGCAAAGATTGACACCACGGGTGGGGTAGTGGTCACTTAGGCACACCCGACTTAAAGTAGTATGCTAGAACCAAGCTAGTGCTATCAATAAACACATTTGAAGAGAAAAGTGTTTTTCATGATTTGCATTTCCTTTTAGAAAGGCTCCCCGCTGGTCTATGTACAGGAGAGAGGCAGTAAGTCAGTCTCACACACACAAAGACTAAGGTTTGCCTGTATGGTTGTAAGAAATGTTTTTAATTGCCCAAAGCATCACTTCTGCTGTGCTTAGAAGCGGTGCCTTCCATCATCCTTGAACAAGCGGCAGGGTAGATCATACAACAGATTGCCATAAAAATATGGCAACAACCACCAACTCCCCCCCAAACCACTGCTGGTTAATGCAATACACTTAAAAAGAGTAAACCACAGAATAACAAGCTTTCTTTAACCAACCGTTTTCCAGGAACACAGCTTTTCCCTGTCCCTCCCCACCAGTCGTGACCCAAATCCTACCACGCAACTGGCAAGGAGGTGTCTGTCTTGGGCTTCAGAACAGCGAGTGACCGAGTCGTGAGGGTGCGCGGGGTCGGGCACAGGAGGCCCCAGGGCCAGCGGACATTCAAACCCTCTCTGACTGGGAACCACCCTGCTGTAAGTTGTCATGCTGCACAGGCGATTTAGCAGTACCACAGTTAGGAGGAACAGCTTTTGTCACCCTGCCAGTGCCTTTGTGGGGGAAGCTGACAGCGATCCAAGGCTCCAGAGGGAGACACACACCAACACACAGCTGGAGAAGAAGCTTAAGAGGGGCAGACTACAGCTGGCAAGGGGAAGGAAAGAGGGCAGGCAGGGATCCTTCCTCAGCTTTCACGTTTACGCGTTCCAGGTTTTTGAAGGCACATCATAAGCTTAGCAGCATTTGGGAGCCATTGTTTCTTGCTGGTCCTACTCAGAGGCTGCAGACAAGAGTGAAGCAGAGGTGAGCTGGAGGTGCTGAGCAGAGTTTAAGAAAAATGGTCAAATTTGTGCTCCTTTCCCAAACTTAGGTACTCTCACAGCTCTCAGTATGCCTTTCTTTCCTAGGAAAAAAATAATAATAAAAAATAATCAAGTAGTCTAGCAGATTGTAGGGTCTACCTGTTGCTTACTAGAAAGGCGTAGGGGAACCAGGGCAAGTGCAAGGCAAGTCCATCCCAATCTACAAGGATAAAAATCAAGGATGCCAGGTTCTCCTCCTGTATGAACTGGCTACATCAGTTAAATTTAAAACTAAATACGCACATCTTGGAGGGACAGCTCAGGTTTCTAAGCTGGCAGCAGCCAGCACTGTCTGATGATGCCCAGAAGACGACTAAGGTTTTTCAGGAAACAAAAATAATCCCTTTACAAAAAAGTGCAGGTTAGAGCATAAAGAACCATTTCCATATTGGATAGCCAGTTACATTTTCTCCCTGGAAAAGGAGCTCTGAGCCAGTATGGAAGGTGCTACAAGTGCAGTGTACTGACTAGTGTAAACTGTGTAATGGAGCCATTCAGTTTTTTAACAAAAAAAACCCAAAACAACAAAACCAAAAAAAAATAAAAAAAAGCCAACCCCGTGTTCATACTCTTTCTATAGAGGACCATTAAGCCTTTGAAAGAGTGCTTCCCCCCCTTTTTTACTTAAACAAAGCCACAAACCAAAGTATTTACTTAGGCTTAACCACGTAATGCTTGCTGGGACGCTCAGGGTTTTGAGAACCTATGAACACAACCTGCAATTGAGGGCACGTGCACGTGAAGAAACAGATGTCCTTCGCTCATTCTAACGTGTCCGTCCATCTGCGTTATTTTCAATGCTACCGTGAGAAAGGCTTTGTCATGGAGGTTAGTGTGTGTGTGTACGAAGTGCTTACATACACCGTGAAGACAAAAGACCCACCGACAGTTCAATGGTAACAGCCAATACATACTGCTGCAGGTTGATAGTTAAGTTTGTTTTCACTAATATTGATTAATAACGCAGCCTGTGCCTTTGTCCACACGGGTGGTTACAATACATGGAGCAGTGCTCAGAAGCAAGCAGTCAGGTACCCCTGATTTGGCCACAGCGGTTATAGTTATATACCTTGCCGTATGAACACAGTCGTATTAGGTTTCATTAGAGGAGCATAACTATTAATGACGTATCTGGAAGAAGTTTGGCATGCATGGGGCATCAAAAGAAACTTTACTGCAGGTGCTATTTATCCTACAGGATCACAGTGCATAAACAGCAAGAGTAGAGCATTTCAGTGATTTTACTCAAACAGTTCTGTCTGTCCCTGAGTGCTTTCTGACCACTTTGCTTCCATGGACCTGATCCACTGCCAGCGTTTCGACCTCGGGCTGAGGCTGGGAGGGCGCGACGTGGTGGATGCGATGTGCCACCCCGATGTGCGCCTTGTGCGGCTTCTCCCGGGCTGGGCTGTGCGATTCGCCGGGTGCACGATCTGAAGCAATAGGTGGAATAACCAGCGGCCTCTCCTTAATAAGATGTACCTCTGCCGTTTCCCTGGCCAACAGAAACGGAGTGGGGTCAGGCATGGCATCCACAGGCTCTCTGAGCAGCAGCTTCCGGCTATCCGATCCTATTCGGTAGGCCTCTTCAAACTCGGGGTTGAGCGGTGTCGACAGGCTCTTCTTCATTCTGCGCCGTGGAGTCTCCGGCAGTTTGTCTTTGGGAGGGGACGGCTTATAGTTGGACAAGACGGGACTGCCAGAAGGGGTCCCCTCCGAAGTCCCGCTTGAACTCATCAGCTTCTTCTTAGTAGCATGCAGCTGAGAAGTTAAATAAGCAATAGTGCTCGCTCTCTGCTCTAGTTCACTTGACAACATGTTGAGCTTATGGCTTTTCATTTTTAACTCTTCCAAATACTTCTTTTCCCTTTCTTTAATAGTGTTTTCCAGCACCATTATCATCGCATTCTTTTGTTCAAGTTCTTTCAGTAATTCATTATTTTCAGCCTCTTTGACTTTCAGCTGAGCTTCAAGATCTTCACACTTTCTTTTGAGTTCATCACTTCTTGAACTACCATTTCCTAGAAGACGGGAAAAGCGGAAGTGTTTCAAGTTAAGAACAGCCACTAAGTAACACAGTGCAACAGGGTTCCTTTTGCCATCCCAAAGCCCTAACAGAAATCCCAAAGGCTAACTTCAGCTAATACGCTTAAAATGACTTCATCTTCAGAAGCACCAGGACAGCTTTTAAGGAAACGATGACAAGCTAGTGCCACTCACCATGGTTGAAGTGTTTAATAGTGTTAATACTAAGTAGAGACGCTTCGCCCGTTCTGGGGAACAGGGATTACAGCAGCCATGCTTGCTGAACTTGCTCAGAATTGAAGCCATTCTGCAAATCCTCGGGTTATTAAGAGGAGCTTCTCCCACTCCAAATGCCAGGCTGGCTGGAAAGAACAATGGAGCAGCTGTCACAGCTCTCCAGGAAGACACGCTCAGGCTTTAGCTTCACCCCTCCGTGGGCAGCTGAAGCCTGTGACTCTGTAGGGCAGGGGAGCGCCTCTGCACCAAGGCTTTGCTGCTGCACGAGTCTCTGTGGGGAGCGGGTGTCTGAGCCCGGCTGCCTTCTCTCCACAAGAGCCTGACACATCACCCTGTAACACCGGGGTTCTTGCACCGGTGAGGGCACGCCAGCAGGACCAGGCAGGCTGACCCGTCTCAGCGCCCCTGCCCGAACGCCACAGCGCCTGTGGGGCGGCTTTGTCACTCTTCCCTTGGTTATTAAGCAGGACAGCTCCCCAGCTGCTTAACAGAGACCAGCAGCCTGAATTTCTCCAATAACAAGCAACCTACGTCACAGGGCTATCGACTGTAAAGCATCAGGTGTTGTCCCCTCCCCACTGGGCAACGTCCGAGCTTGGCACAGCACCGACACAGCAGCATCACTGATGCATCACCTGCTCTGAAAATCCTGTGGTGAGAAGCATCTGAGCAACACTGCCGTATCAAGAAATAACGGTGAGCACGTGCAAGGCTGCTCAGTTGCTTTGCTAAATTTGCCCACGTTCTCTCTTATCTGCAATACGTGTCCTGTCCCACGCTATCCCTGATCCAGGAGGTTATTCCCAGGGAGTGTTTTATTCCTGTGCTTCACCTGTTGATAACATAATACATCTGAAATAACTAGTATCTAGTGTATATATATGTGTGTATGTATATAAAAAAAATATATAGAAAAATAAAAGCTTTGTGGTATAACTACAGTACCAGGTAAGTTTTAGGAATAGTCTCTCACTCTTTTGCCCCTAAAATTCGTGTCCCGTGTTCCCCTATAGCATGCAGGGAACTGCCTGTCTAGTAAGAGAGGAGTCAGCAGTTCTACACTCTATTCCTGGCTCCCTCAAAGATTTCCTATACGGCCTTGGTAAAGAACTTGTGACATTTACTTCATAAATAACAGCAAGTCTGGAAAGCAGAAATCTACTCTTATACCTTTAGAATTTATAAAGGCAACATCCCAAGTGCAAAGTGTTCTCACCTACTTGTAATGGAGAAAATACAAGCATTGAAAGAGATGAGGAAGTTTAACATAAACATTAAAAGAAGAATGCTATGTATTCCTTACCTGACAAGTCTGAACTCTTTACAGTCAGCTCATAGGTTAAATCTGAGGAAAAAAGTTGTTTATTTTTGTTAGAACATCATCATCTACCCCATACCCCACCTGGTGAGCATATTTACAGGGGCATACTTCAATAGCAATATAACTAACCCTTCCCTCCAGCTGAACCAACAACAGGAGATCCACAGCAAATTGCCAAATCTGTAAACCAACTGGAACCATCGGGTGACACATTGCCTTTTTTTTTTAATAAAACTCTTTGCTTAATGGTCACACAGTTGTGCCCCGAGGCACATGCTGATCACCCTAAATATGGTGGTGGGCTTTGTGGCTGAGGTAGGAAGCAGCGACTCCATTCCTGTGACAGGATGCAGCACTGAATCGGCATCAGCGCCCTCTCCCAGGTACCTGTGCAGTGCTGCTGCAGGCGTCGAATCTCAGCGTGCAGGCCTTTCAGTGTGTTGGCATGTTCCCGCTGGAGAAACAGCAGATTCTTCTGGGCACTCTGGAGCTGGTTCTCCAGGTTTGAAGTTGCCATCCTGACATGCAGTGGCCCTGGCAGTAAACAGATGAAAAATTGTAGCAGTGAGTTATCTTGCACGTACAAAGACCCTCACTCTACAGCCAGGCTCAGCAGGAAATTAATGAATTGATATGCAATCAAGCAAATGCCACAAAAGGTTTTTCTGTTTCATGACTATTTCAATTAGAAGTGCTCTAAGTTCATAGAAAGCCTAATTATACTCTAGGCCAGAGCCGGGTAGGGAACTCGTTTGTTTGGAGTTAACACATTTAAAGGATTAACTTCAGACAGACTAAGTCACTAATCCTGCTACAAGATAAAAGTGGAGTTCTGAGAAATGGGCTAGTATGTCCCTCTGCCTTGCTGGGGGTTTTCCACTTACCTCCAGGGATACAGGAATTAGTAACGGCCCTGGACAAGAACAAGGCAGAAAGCACTAAAAGGCACCATCTCTAGAGAGAAATGCAACTCAGGGAGTCTCACACACAGCTAGGCCCAGCGGTACCGCCACCGACATGGCTGCTGCGGGGCACCTCAGCCGAGAGGCGCGCACCGGGACCTGCGGGACAGAAAGCTCTGGCTGCTGCCGCATTTCCTCAGCTGTGCTAGAGCAGGATCCCGTACCCGGTGCAGGCCCCACGGCGCTGGAGACTGGCGTCCCGCACGGGCCCCGATGACATGGAACAATTGACAAGGACAATGTTTCATTTACAGAGAAAACAGGTTTTTCTTGCTCAGGTTATGAGTACATGGAAAGCTGTCACACCACTGGGTCTTCCTCACAGAGCAGCCTTACAAAACTAGGCCTTGACTGCAGCAGGGCTCAGACTCAAATAAAGCTAGAACTGGTTAACCGTACGTTGCTGAGGGGCAGAGCCCTGCGCTGCCAGTGTCACTCCTGCTCCTGGTAAGGCAACAGTGGTTTTATGTATACCCACAGGCCAAACTGCTGAGAAACATCTGCCTGGTAGAGCTGGAGAGCCAGACTCCCAAATGAATTCCCTGATACAGAGGTAAAAATATCTCCTCGCAAACGGCACGGCCAGATGCCTCCTGTGGAGAAGGAGGCGCTGCGCCCCGGGGCTCTCCCCTGTGACGTTCAAAGGGGTACCTGGAGGAGCATCCAGAGAAGCACGAGCAGGAGTTACCAGGTCCCTGGTGCTACCTAGTCACCAAGTCTGTCAGGACACAATTTTGCTGATTGTCCTGTTTCCTGGTAAAAATAAGCATATTGATGAGAAAAAGCAACGACGAGAGTATGCAATCCTCCTGCAACCTCAAAGCACAAAATCACTCAGGTCTTGAATTTCCCTGCGTGATCATTACCGCCGTGCGTGCACAGAGGGCTGGATCATGAGCAATGCTGCCACAGCCAGGGCGCGTGGTGCTGCTCCACCTACAGCTGGGTTATAGAGGCTGTGGGACTACAGGAGAAGAACTTTCCAGAAACCTATGTCCTTAATAACTCCACATTACCACACTTTAAATTCCTTTAGTAAGAAAGCTGTCATGCTTGGGAAGCTTTCTGAAAACTCTGGGAAGTCAGTCGCCTTCTTGGGCAGCTCAGGAGCACAATGACAGCACAAAAACAGGCGCACAGACAAATCCTAGAGAGCCAGGCTAACGGGGACACCGGAGCGGCAGGCAGTAGCACACGCTGGGTGGGAATTACAGAAGCCACGGTGGGAAAAATACTGTCAGGGGACAGAGCAGCGCAGGGAGCTCTGTCACAGCCCCTGGCCTGCCACCGGAAGCGACGAGGAAAGGTTTGTCAAGCGCCTCGGCGCGCTCCCCGTGCACAGGCGATGATCTGGGCTGGTAGGGCTGGGAGCCAGGGCAGCCCTCTCCTGCTGCCAAGTAATGCAGCCGGGGAGGCGGGAGGCTGATAAAGCGGTTAGGATGCCGGGTTAAACACTGCTGATGCATGAGGAGCATTAGCTTTGTCACTACAGTACTAAAGGCTAAATACAGTTATCGGTGTAGTTTTGTAAAAACAATTACAGTATTTAGGTTACAGAGATAAGTAAAGAGTCAGGACTCCCGTTGCCCAGACAACCGCCTGCAGCGGCATTGCAGCCACCGTCTGTAATGACGGCACCACGCGCTGTGCAGGAGAGAGACCTCAGTTCTGTCCGTGGCTGCCTCACAGGCCCCTGAACGGGTTCGTCTTGCCGTGTCAAGGGCTCTCCATTGGGCTCTTCTTGGTGTCTAGTTCTACGACAAAAATTTGATTCTACAAGTTTAAAATTGGTAGAGCATACACTCAGAGAAAGGAACACACTTTTCTCATTCCTAAAAGTAACACAGCCCTGTGTTTAATTTTATACTTTTTACTCCCAAAAGAACACCAGACTCAGTGCTTCTGAGCCTTGGTAAAACGGGAGGGGGAGGGAGACAAATAAACACACACACAGAGTCTCCTGATTTCATGTGTGACCCTAACTGACATCATCATCATCAACTGACTTATCCCTACAGCAGCAGCATATATTTGACTGTAAAAAAATAAAGGGTAAAAGACTTTGAAGGAACCCAGTGCTGTGCAAGGGGCAAAACAGAGCTCTTGGTTACTTTATAACAGAGATCAGAGATTAAATTCAATGCTGAAGAAGAATGAGGGTAACGGTGCCAACTTGTGCTTTGTGGAGTGGAACGGCTCATTTTGCAATCACCATCATTAGCAAACAAGCCAAAATTATGGACCAAAAATATCTAAAAAAGAGGTTTCTGGGTTGGCTGAACAAGAAATAAACTGAGTTGCGCATACGGGCTCCTGCCCTCTGACTTCTGAGGAGCCCAGGGACGCTCCGTTACTGCCACCCCTCACTGCCCACAGCACCAGAGGACCATCAGCAATTACTGTGGGGCACCATTAATTTTAAGGACTGATGATATTTTAGCTGTGTTCCATTTTCAAAGTGACATCATCTTGTTCGCAAAGCTGACTTCAGACAGGCAGAAACTTTAATGAATCATCCCATTTCTTACTCATTACACCCTTACCCACTGCATGTGACGGCAGAACGAAGCCTGCGGAGTCGATGCCCTCACCGCAGCGGGAGCTCAGAGTGCATGGTACACCAAGGCTCAGAAGGGATTTTTAACCAAGAAATGTATTTTCCAAAAGAAACTCTAAGGACTGACAGTGCTAGGTGAAAGAATAGCCCACACATAATATCCCGAAGCCTTTACTATCACAATGATGGCTTTACGCCTGTAACTATAATCTGAACAGAAACAGACTTCATCACCAGCAACAGTGTTTATAACTCAGTCCTTGCAAATCAATGCATTTTTTAAAAAACTAGTTTCTAAATGTTAGAAAAAACAAAACAAGGGTGTCACTATTAATCTCCTCAATTGATTTTTCACCTTGACCTCTTGCATCTTAAAGATCACACTAGGATTACCTACTCTGAAGAAAAAAAAGAAATAATCAGAGGCAGGCTGGCTTTATAGGCTTAGGAAGAAAATAAAAATTACCAGCACCAGAGCATCAATTTCCCTTGCTTTTGCAGCCATACTTATAAGGAAATTTCTACTGCACAAACAAGGGAAGAGAAAAACCTCGTGCCTGCAGTCTGAAGAGCTCTCAGATACCCACCATCAGCTGCACTTACCCAGTTCTAAGTTCAGCAATATTTTTTCCCTGTAGGAACTTTTTTAGCCAGTGCCTAACTTAAAAGCTGGCCAGACTGCCAAAGTAGAAAGAGTTAAAGAGAAAATATTTATCTTTCTAAAATAATGTCAATTTTTTATGCCCCTAGAGATAATACAACTGAATTGGACACAAGAAGATGGAAAATATGGATAGGATATGCAGTAAGTCAGGCCAACAGCCTAGCCAATTCATCTGCTGTTGGGCAAGTTTACTGAACAGGTCATTTCTGAAGATCAGAAAGATGAGGTTTAAAGGAGGGAAAAAGCCTCTCGCCAGGACATCCCAGAGCACTCCTGAAAGTGGGAACTCGAGAGCTGGATGCCAGCGGCACCCCCTCCAGGAAACAGGGTGTTACCATTGCCTGTCTTAAGGGGCGTGCAGCGTGCCACGTACAGACCATGCTGCAGTTCATGCCTTAACACCACACTATCTATACTGCTCGTGCAGCTTGTTCCGATTTCTTCAGCTATGCCACGGGGGGGTTATTTTGTTTTTCTTGCTTTGCTAGTGGCAGCTTGTGATTTTGGTATTGTTTATTATCTGAAAAATACTGCTGAGGTGAATACTTGCTTTTACTGAGGAATTACTCAGTAATCAATACGACGGACTTCACTTCCCTACAGAGACTACTGACTGGCGCCGCTATCTAAAGCCTGCTCTGGCAATTGTTCTGCTTTTGGGTCAGACAAGAGGAGTATCTTCAGACACCCGAGTAAAGATTCCCTTAAGGAGCCTGGGGACACCACGTGTACTTTGTGAAGGGACAGCACCTGGGAGAGAAGTCGATGTCCTGGCTGTGACCCTCCTGGATGCTCGCATCCACAAGGCTTCCACAGGACAGGGCAAGGGGGAACATTACTTGCTTCCACAGAGACTCGGTGGTATTTATTGTCCAAACTGTTATGATTTAGTGTGATTATTCCCTTAAAAAGTCCACCCAAATCGTGTATTTCAATTTAAAGCATACTGGCTGAAAACAGTGTTTTGTGGTGGTGGGTTTTTTTCTTCTTTTTGTTTAAGAATTGGCAGCAGGAAAATATGCTAATTTATGACTGGGAATTCATTCGCATACAACTAGTTTTCTAAGTCAGTTTGTTTTGAATGATTATTAAATACTTGGATAATTGGATTATTAAAACACTTAAGGCTTTTATTTCTGTTTTCCCCACTTACAGTCAGTTTGTGTATTTTGTACATTTCATCACATCTTAAACTGATCAGCTTCCTTGTTTATGTAGGTTGGGTAAAGATCAAAGGACACCATGCAAAAATATAAACTAATTTTTAAAGCCAGAAACATTGACAACTGCCACAAAGTTAAACCATGCACTGAAACTTGAAAAAGCTATTATAA